ACTTTTTAGTTTAAGTTTGTACATGTAGGTATAGTCTTGAAGTCGGTTTTTTTTTTTTTTTTTTCGAAACTACTTTTCAATTTTTTGTTGATTTTTTCAGAAAACACTGAACAATTTGGATAAAATTTATAATCGTGTAACAATCATACAAAAAAATTTTTTGAAATCGGTTAATAAAAAAATACAGTAGAACTCCGTTGTAGAGTCACTAAAGGAACCGGCGATCCATTTACGTCATAAAAACCGAGTGAAAAAAAAAGAACAATTTCGGAAAGACATTTTGCACTTCATCAACCATATATCATTTATTATATCATACGGATAGTCAAGTACGGAATCAAAATATGCTTTTATAATTAAATTTAGATTCCTTGTAATATCAGTGAAACGAAAAAACTGTACTCATTCGTGAAGATAAAAACCAATTAGTACGTTTATTATATTTAAGTTTTAGTGATAAAACAGTTCAGAAGAAGCCTTATCAGCCCGTCGTTTGATATGTTTATTATGTAATATTTATATTTCACACGTGCCTTGCAAAGGAATTCAAATCAGTATAAAATTATTAGGTACCTATTTCTTTTATTCTTATTAGAAATGATTTCTTTTCTCGGAAATACTGTATACTCACGCTACGAGTAAACACAGGTATTATCACAAACATATACTGTACTGTATTGCTATTCCCAAACATTTTGTATCAAAGTAACAATTAGTAAAAGTTGACATTTGTTTTTCATCTTTTCTTATCTCATAATAATCGAAATTGTGCGAATATTTAAACAATCATTTATACGATAAATACAGAAAATTATTTTCGTCATAATTAGTTTCTTTGCAATAACACATCCTTCCGTGGGAATATGAGCCGCGACAAAGGTAATAGTCCGTTTTTTTTTATTGGTTTCAATGTATAGAATTTTCAGTCACTAGCAATTCTTAACTTTCAGATATTGGTAATGCAAAACGAAGCAGAATCCTTGTAGGCCCACCTCTGAGGAAAGAATTTCAAGATTCACGAGGATTAGGGAGAATTATTTATGAAAAACTTTTGGACAATGGAAATAGCGTTATGCAGGTAACATTAATATAGCCTTTCGTTTTTAATCTCAGTAATGAAATTAAGCAGGATGAAATAAAAACAAATAATCTTATTAAAATTTAAATTTGTAATGCAAGTCTTTAATATACCTGTATATCAAATGTAAAAACACTGCTTATCTAAAACAGGGCGTGAATACACCAACATACCCTCGTCA